GTTCTTGTCTGCGTCTCCACCGCTCCAGCCGGCGGCTGCCTCTTGGAGAGCTTTATAGCTGGAGCTCCAGGATGTAATGAATTGGGTTTGTGTGAACTTTCTTCCACTCTCTATTAAATGGTTCATCAGGTTAAAGGGAGCATTGTTTACCTTTCCTGCTCCCACAGCTCCTCTTTTCTATCCAGATGAGGAACTCGGAGCGGTGGCTGTGTTCATCAGGCACGTCGCCCAGTAAGAGGCTGAGCTCCATCTGAGCCCCTACCTTCATGCGTGCCGTACGGAGGGACGGGCACTTGCCCCCTGTGTGACGCTGCGCACTGATGTTTGTTTGGTTCCTTGTCCTCCTCACCATACCTCGACCTGAACTGCTCTCCGTGATCTCCCGGTCCGTTACCTTTCCATGGAGCGTGGTCGCGCTGGCATCACATCTCCGCTCCTGCATGGGGGCAATCAGCGTCCACGGGTTGGTCTCCGGCTCGTACCGTTCTGCTGCGTTGAGGCGCGTGTGCCCATCGAAGCCTCCCATGGCGTAGATGTGGTTGTCAAGAACGGTGACGCTGATGTAGCAGTGCCATGCGTACATGGGTGCAACCTGCTGCCATGTTTTCTGAAGCGGGTCGAACCGCTTGACGCTGTTGAAATAATCCCTGCTGTCCAACTGATGACGTAGATAAAGCCTTTTAAATAAGCCGTGCTGTGAGAGGCGAGGGGCTCTCTTGCTCACATGTGACTCTCACCCACTTGTCCGCATGGGCATCGTACGTCTCCATGGCATTGGTTATGCTCACCCCGCTCCAGCCTCTGACAGCAAACACGATGGCGTAGGGCAGGCGAGGCCGGCTGAGGGGGCGGGGAAAACCAGGGCGAGATGGGCCGTGCATTTCCTTGAGGGTGTTTGTGATGCACTCCTTGTTGTCCTTTATATAATTGTGCGTTTTGACGTTGTTCATTAAATAGTCTGCTCGCATCAGTGCCAGTCGAACCTGAAAAATGTGAAAAGGACGTTAGAACATGAATGTAGATCGTTTACACCTTGGGATCCTTCGGGCATAGCTCCCATGCTGGATGGCTTTGCTTTCAGGCACAGCCTTGTCTAAAGCCTATTTAGAGAACCAGCGAATTAAATGTGTCATTTTGAGCTAGTCCAGAAAGGGGTGTGCAATAGTTTTAAGCTAGTCCAGAAAGGGGTGTGCAAGGGTAAATCATTCAATTTCATGGCATCTGCCCCACATTCCCATTGGAAGGGGTTACAATCCATCCTGGGGGGGCCCAAAATAATGGGGGTCGGAGAGGGGGTTCAATAGGGTCGATCCTGAAGACAGGTGGAGACATGAGAACTTTTGTCTCTAAAAAGGTGAATAAACAAGAGGAAGGATGCACATGGCTACCAGAGGACCCCTGTCCCCCCTAGACCTTGACCATCGCTGGGTCCAAGCATGGTGATATCTTTCTGAACGCTTTCCTCTCTCTCTCCTTTTCCTTTCCCTTTTCTCTTCAAGCATCTCTTGACCTCTCCCTGTCTCCAGCTATTTTCCTGGCACCTATGGTTCACACCGTTACAAGTTTTCTTTCTCAGTATCAATAAGCAATTACGAGTTTTTCTTTATTAGTGACAATAAGTGGTTGCGAGTTTTTTGGATCATGGTTGTTAGTTGTTGTATTATTGTCGTTCTGCTCTTGTGGGTAATTGGGAGTTTCCTTTGGCATCGTTAGGAGCTGTCACATTATTGTGGGTTTTGGTGTCAGCGGGTGATAGTCTCGTTGTGAGTTTTCTTTGCCAAGTCATTTATCTCTGGAGGATGAAGACGTAGGCTGCTTCTCGGAGATCGGGACAGTAGTAATACTCTGTGAATCTGTAGATGCCGACGGCATTTATTGTAATTCCGCTCTACCTTAGATTTCACATCCAACAGTTCCCTTTTTCCTAAAGATTATATGCATTAAAGTTACAAGCCAGTACTCGACCGTTTGGTGTTGTCCCACCTTAATTTGCCCCAAGGGGATCCCCGGAACCTCCGTGAACC